TATTATTATTATTATTATTATTATTATTATTATTATTATTATTATTATTATTATTATTATTATTATTATTTTATTGAAAAGTGTATATTATGATGCTGTAAGCACAATTGTCTGTTTAAAAACTTATTGTTGAGGGAAGTCACAAAATACTCGATGGATGAATAGATACATTATTTAAAAAAAAATCAAAGTGAATTTGGTTGGGCCCCTAGACCATAGAGAAATATACTATATAAACAGTGGCCACTTGAGCCTTTCGCGGCAGAGCAAGAAAAGGTCTGACCAACCGCTAGATGGCGTACCCATGCTCGATTTTACTTCTTGTAATAGCCACCTCAGGAGGACAACGAAAACCCAAGTTTGGAATCAAATTTTCGCAAAACATAAATCTTATCGGTTGGTGCAATATTCCATATCCACTCTGCAACGTGTCCCGCTGACGACGTTTAATGCTTTACCACAAAAATAAGTAAAGTCTTACTAGAAAAAGTTGTTTTTCGGCATTTGTCTTCCCCAAATTGCCCCATCATGTGGTTCAGATGTACTGTACATGTATCCCTTTGTGGAAGTTTGTGTGTGTAGCCTAGTGGTAAAGACACTAGCTTTCGGAGAATGAGGGTGCGCGTTCAAATCTCAGCACAAGAAATAAAAAGGTTTGTTATTCTATTTATGCTGAAGACGTTATCGGGTCTGACCAGCCACTCGTGGCGCTGAAAGCAGCGCAGTAGCTCGGCAACAGGGCCCTAAAGGAGTGTCCGCTCTTTATGTAAATATGTCTCTCTATGTCTAGACGTCCTGGAGTCCCCTGGCTACATCTTTAGGTAGGCCTGGTCCACCAGTCTCAACTGGTCATGCGACCCGAAGAGTGACCTCACATAAAGAAATATACTACAAAAAAGTGGCCACACAAGCCTTTTCGTGCCCGAGCAATAGAGTCCTACCAACCGCTAAACGTCGTACCCATGCTCGTTTGTACTCATTGATCAAGACATGTAATAACCGCCTCAGCAGGACAACCAGGACAACGAAACCCCCAGTTTGGCATCAAATTTTTGCAAAGAAGAAATATTACTGATTTGTGCAATTTTTCATATCCGCTCTACATCGTGTCCAGCTAAGGACGTTTAATGTTTTACCACAAATTCAGTAAATGCTGACTAGAAAATGTTGTCTTTCTTGTGGTGAATGGATCCCAGCGCTGTACTCCAGTTGTCGCGGATATCAGCACTGTTTATCAGTAGTCGTTTCGGATCCCAGCGCTGATCACCCGTTGTTGCGGATCGGGGTCTACCCGGTTTCTTGTGGTAGCGTGGCGTAACTTCGTGTGGAGGAAACGAACGCTGACAAGATGAGGATACGAAAAACAAACAGGTTTATGACACTATTTACACTTATTTACAGCATAGAAAGGTTGGGAGTTTCACGAGCGTGGTGGTTGAACCGTTACGTGGTTCAGAGCGACGTCCAGCAGTCTGCAGCGTCGTTTTAAGCCCTGTCATGCTCTTCTTCCTTGATCGGAACAGCAATCAGACACACAAAACACCACCCACAGGCCATCAGTCAATAACACATGGTCCGCCGAATAGTTATTGCATCTCCCAACTCAATGCTCTGAGAAGATGGGGAATGGGGTTCTCTCCCGGAACAATTTTACAGTTAGGCTGGTTCTTCTGCCTTTCCCTGGAAGGGCAGCCAAGGAATAGATACTTGAATCGCGGAGACACGACCTGTGCGGTCGGTCTGCTTCGCCGTCTAGCTAAACAAGCTGGCCCGGAGGAATTGCTTGTAGGGACGTTGGCTCAAGGACCGTCTTCTAATCTTTTCGTCGCTCCCCGCCGCTGGATCCGAGAAACGGGGGTTCCGGGCGTGGGAGTGCTGACCGGCTACGTTTCTGAGCGACAGTATGGCACCTACTGACGAGGGTCATAACATTCTGCATTTGTTTTGCACAAAGGGTGCGCGTTCATATGGTATAGATGTACTGTACATGTGTTCCCTTTGTCAAAGCATGGGTGTGTATCCTAGTGGAAAATACGCTCGCTTTCGGAGCATGAGGGTATGGGTTCAAATCCCAGCTTCGGAAAGAAAAACTTGTCTGACCAGGCACTCGTGGCGCTGAAAGCAGTGCAGTAGCTCAGCCGTGGGGCCATACGGCAGTGTCCGCTCTTTATGTAAGTACGTTTCTCTGTGGGCCTTCCACGAGAAAAATGATGGATTAGGAATAGGGTCTACCGCCACGGGTGTTGCGCACCTCCACAAGTAGGGGAAAGATCCACCCGTGACGCCCCCGACAGGTCGTGCATTGTGATTGGTGAAGAAGACCGACATCAGCTACAACAGCTGGTGACAATATCAGTTCTCCATTTGGCAGACCTAGGCCTCCGGTTTAACCCTCAAAAGTCGGCTGTTGCCCCATTTTCTGGAGAAGTGGACACAAACCTCCCGTTAGAACTTCCTAATGGAGACAAGTTGCCTTTCTCAACAGAATACCGGTATCTGGGGGTGACCATGGGCACGGGAAACGACCCATTCTCGGGGCACGAGGATCGACTGCGGCTGGCCTTCCAGCGTGCGAGCTGCATTCTGCGCCGGAGAAGCCTCTGGGGCTGCAACAGATATGTATTAGTGCTAGGTCTGTGGAAATCGATCCATGTACCAGGTCTGACCTTTGCAAACGCCATCATATGCCTGTCCAGCAAGACCCGTGAGTGGCTGGAGCGGGGCCAAAGGGAGGTGGGCCGGTTGGCATTGGGCTTCCATGGAAGGGTTGCAGTGGAGGTCATCCAGGGGGACATGGGTTGATCTACGTACGAGGCGCGGGAAGCCACGAGCAAGATCATTTATGAAGGGCGCCTACGCTTCATGAACGATCAGTGGTGGGCCCGTCGCATGTTCCACTCACTACCTGCACTTCGTGGGACACAGTGGTCGAACAGAGTCTAGACGCAAGTACGACATGTTGGACCTCTCAACAATCGAGAGCACGGAGCACAAGTTTTCCGCAGCAGTCCAGAAAGGGATACACGAAGTGGAGAATGCGCAATGGGAAATCTCGATGCAGCAGAAGAGTACACTTCAGCTGTATCGTACATACAAAGAGGCTATTGCCCCGATATCTGTCTATGACAACAGTGGTGGAAGTGGGCTACTGTTCGAAGCGCGCGCGGGAGCGCTTCGCACGTTCACATACCGTAGCCACTTGGACCCAAACGTCCACTCGACCCTATGCAGAGTGTGCGGAACGAAGCAGGAGACAGTTGAGCACTTGGTGCTAAAATGCCAAAAACTCTCACCCTGCCCGCCAGAGGCCACTACACTACCTCAGGCGCTGGCCTTGGTGGCCAGGAATGCAAAAGCAGTTTCTACCACAAAGACAAGGCTCCAACAGTGGTGGAAGTGAACTCCTCTTTGTGCTTCTGTTTTTTTGTTCTTTTCTTTATATACCTAGGCTGGAACACAACATATATGTGTTCACCCGTTACAAAGGGCAACGCCACAAATCATCATCATAATCATCAAAGCGAAGTAAAATATATACTTGCCAGATAGCGGGAAATCAATGCTTTTGTCTGGAGCTGGCGCCAAACTGAGCTCTGATTAGGAGTGGGAGAGGGTAGTGAGGGGAAGGAAAATGTCGACTGACATTCCTGTGATAGGTTGAAATCTTATCCTCCACGGTCTCTGGGTACCCAATTGGGAATCGTTGTTTTAAAGGTTACATATCATCACAATTTCGTATTCGCGTGTCCAAATTTGTCTTGGCACAATAAGGACGAGTTGCTTTCACGAAGTCCTGAGAAGTGGTGCCTGACTGAGTACTGCACGAGCGCACGGCTGCGTCCTCGTGATAGGTGAAAGTTTTTTTTTTCTTAGTTCTAGCGTGAACGATTTCATCTGTAGTGCATTCCTTTACCTGCGGACGCCTTGTCGATCAGTTTGAAGGTAATTTCATTCTGATATTTTTGTTTCATTCAATCTTAGAGACTTCAAAAAAATCAGGTGTGTGCAAACGGGTACCACCACATTTTGAGACAACCATTAAATTCTTCTAATTGGTCATTTTTCTGCTTTTGTTTTTAAGGTCAGAGAGTCGAATCGTACAGTTTTACAAAAGCTTTTTTTTTTTCATTGGTACATTCTTGGGACTGAGGAGGTTATGATAGGTGCAGATTCCTTCTTCTGGTTTTTTTTTTCACGAATTTGTGTGAGCGGGCCACCGCGGTCCGGATGGAAAGACCTCGGACATTCGCATGAATGCGCTCATTTCCGGGGATACACCCATGACCAGACACCCACGTGATGGTCACCGGATGGGGAAGTGGAGGAATGGTTCTCGAAACATGTGAAACCGGATTTGGTTCTATGCCTTGACGGAAGTATCCATGGGCGCTTTGGGAATCAGTGCAAATTTCTGCAATGGGGGAATCTGCGGCCGCATGTGCCATCACTAGGGCTTGTGCAACCCGCTCAGTCGCGTTGGGATGTGCCGTTTTAACGGATACGGAGATCCTAATTCGCCCGTCCTCCGGTAGCAGCCGCTAAAACATGATTTTTATTTCAAAATAAGCACTTACTTGGCACGAATGTAACACTACGGGGTTTCTGGACCGCCATTTCAACAATCAACGTCGACTTAATAGATATCTCTATAGTGTCCCTTTAATATCACGTGCGAGACCTGGTTTTGATTCTAGTGTAAACAGTCGCTTATTATTTGCATCTGTCGCATTTTTCGCTTAGGGACAACGCGACCGACGCCGACACTGGATTTTCTGCGACACAAGCTCTTTAGCGTTTCTACATTAAGAAATGATCCTTTAATTATTCTTACCGTCCACCTTAGGAGCCAACTTATCTTTACGACGAGGTCGTTTCTGAGTTTATTCTGCAACTAATGCAGAAAGAGTTGACAGAATCAACGTGGTGACGCAATCCCCTAGCTTCTTGCTGGCAGCATGTCGAAGACAGTGACACAGATAAACAAAACGCAGCACGCAAACTTGCTGTACAACAATGCAAATCTACAGTTTATTCCGTGCTGGGGCAAACATTCGCCAACTATATAGGCTCTCCTTTCCGCACACATGCCGCCGCATGGGCACATGTAGTCAGCCGTGGTGCAAGAAGTCCGGACGGCTAAAATGAAATGCAATTTTCTCACTTCTTTAGTGTCCGTGACCCCCCAATGAGAATTCATGGCATTTAATGATGTTTCAAATAACGGCACTTAGTGTATACGGCTAGCTCTACATGTGGCATATGCAAGCACTCCCCCGACTCATCGCTGCTTCAGTGCTTACATTCAGAACGTAGTTTTAGCGCTTCCAGTGGGTCTGCTCTTCAATAGCAAGTTTTAATTTTGATCTTATCTAGAGATATAGCGCTTCCACGCAACCCTTAACCGCGATTATTTTAGGCTCACTACAGCCATAGAACTCACCTCGTTCGATGATCACTCAATTTTTTTGTGCTTAAATAACACTTTCAAATTAGCATGGCGAGAATATTGTTTATGTTCTTTACAGACAATGTACTTCTCAGAAGTTAGTAGGCCATCAGGTAATCATAAAACGTTTTGGCCCTGGTGTAGGAGACTAGAAAGCAACGGGTCTGGTGTAGAAGCCAGGAGACAATTGTGAGGGGCGGCGGATTTGCTCGCATAGGACTACAAAAAGGCGGATCTGTATTCCATTTTAAAATAGTTTCGCGTCTGTCGCTGTAATGTTAGTTATTGAATGCATACGTATGGTCTCTTTTTAGCTACTCATACGCAATGTAAAAATCGACTATAATTGTAGAACGAGCGAGGTGAGAGAAACTCTCACGGACCGTTTAAGGTGCAGTACTGTCTATTGCACTTGTGCAAAGTAAATGCGTGATGCGCAGCTGATTTCTCACTTCACTCGCGAAGCGGCCATTTCTATAAACACACACTGAAAAAAAAACATGAAACAAGAACATTAGAAAAAAATGTGCATAGGCATGTTACCGTCCTTTAAAATATCAAAAATCCACTCAGATCTGTTGTACAATCTTTACGAAGGATTAACAAATATCCGACGTGTCTCGTAGTTGCACACAACTCGCACAGACTTTTTCATAACTGATGCAGGTTAATTATGAAAAATATTAAACTCCCAGATTAATTAAAAATAACACGCTAATGCGAACACTCACGACAAAGTCAGTTTTGCAGACGCGCTAAAACAGCGTTCAATCCACCTCATTCCGATCACTAGCGAGGTGTTGGCGGTCTGCATACGACTTCGTTGCCGTGAACCACTATGAGCGATGTCAGCGTTACATCGATGAAAAGTCGAGTCAATTGACGTTGATGTTTTCTTAATCACCAACTTCCAGCGGTTGACACACCACTTCAACGCGTTGGATCACGTAGTGTCTTTACCGCCACTCCTTTGCTGGCGAAATGCACTGTCATGGTGGTTAATTCCGTACCGATCGCCGTGCTTCCCACTTCAAAACGGCTCGAGCTCAAACGAAAAGCAAAGCCGAATGCCCGATGTTCGCACTTCACGACGTACGTACACGAGCGAGCGCACTCACACGGAATGTCAACTCGCAGTCACACAACGCTTCACTCTTTCCTGGCTAGCCTGATCTTGAGCAGGACGAAGGCAACAGTCCTGCATATGGCCTCGTAAGCCAGCAGCGCGAGCACCAGCACATAGAACTTCTTGTCCGCTGCACCGACGAACTCGAGGAACTGTTGCGGGTCCTCGTAGAGGCATATGAACTGGTCGCATTCCAGGGTCGCCCGGCCGTAGCCGTACACCGACAGCAGCAGCCCGTTGTAGCCGTAGTAGATGTACGAGATGTCCGTTAACCACCGCGCGTAGTGCGTTAACAGGTGAGCCGGCACGAAGAAGCCGCAAAAGAAGAATGCCGGCGACACGATAGGCAGGGCCAGGAACACCGCCGTCTGTGTGACAGGGAGGAAGAACACACCGGCACATTGATGAACAGGTGACAAAAGCACCTAACTAAATGTATAAAGTGCTTGGGTATAGCAATAATAACCTCTCCAATGATCAACACCGTCAATAAATTGCATAAGAGAGCAAATGAAACTCATGCATAATTTACATTAACAGTGCCCACTGTATATTCAGGTCTTGAAGAGAGAGAGAAGGAATGTATAGGAAAGGCAGGGAGGTTAACTAGGCTATGCGTCCAGTTTGCTACCCTACACATGGGGAGGGGGAGAGGGGAGTAAAAGAGAGAGAGAAGGATAGACACATGTCACATCACACACACAATGCCGAGTTTCACAGGCGGTCCCTCAATGAAGTTGTTGACAAGTATCTCAGGAGGGCTCGTGTGGCTTTCTGTGCTGATGTGCTGCGCGACCAGGCTCCTAAGATCTTTGCTTCATTAAATGGCCGGTCATCGAGTCTATTCAAGGCACACTGGAGAGTCCGGCGATCTTCATCAAATTGTGCAAAGTGGCACAAGAGATGTGCAATAGTCTCTATACAGTTGCAGCTTTCACACATGGATGAATCCACCATGCCAATGCGTTGGCTGAATGACTTAGTAAACGCTACCCCAGTCCACAGCCGGCACAGCATTGTAGCGTCACGTCGAGAAATCTTGGATGGCAGTTGTTTCTGAAGCAATGACTTCAGATTCTTAGGGCGTTTATTGGAGTTAGGTGAAGAATTCCAGTGCGAAAGCGTGGCATTATGCGCGATGTGACGAAGTTCTTGAAAGTTACACAACTGATTCTGTCCCCGTCGAATACCCTTCATTTCCCTTCTAATGTCATCTACAGCACTAGTGATATACGCGAGAAGGCGATGAAGAAAACTTCCGCTGCCTGCCCAGTGAAAACCATGTTTAGCAAAGACTTGAGCTCAAAGAAATCATCAAAACACACTCCTCCTTTCTGAAGTGATCTCGTCCTGTAAAAAAGGTTTGCTAGTCTCACCTGTAACTTGGACACAGCGGACACGATGAGCCCCATGGCCTGCGACACCGCGCATATCTGGACGCAGAAGAGCATGACGCCTGCTACACGCCACAGCTCCCGCGGTTGTGCCGTCGGATAGTACACGATAGCTACCAACAAAGCGTTTGGTATCACCTGTGCTCGGAGAGGGAGCAGAATAAAAGAGGACAAAGATGCGGTTTAACAACTGGGCGCTACACTCGCAGATCAGTGCCCTTGAACCACGTATAGCAGGCAGTTCTGTCCTCTGAGCTGTGACGTATGAACTCTTATTCATCCCGTGCATGGAATGGCTCGGCGGTCCCGAATCACGCCGTGTGTGTAGGCACAGGGCGGGGTCAAAAGTTCCCAGGCCACTATCGCATGTATTCTAATGAACAGCGTAGCCTAGGAAACTATTGACACCCCCCCCCCCCCTCTTAACCCCTTGTACCTGCGAGTGCCAGGGACTCAGGTGGAAGCTCGTCAAAAAGCTGCTGCCTCTATGATTTTCCCATGCGCTGGTCGCATTCCAATAAGCCTTATGAGCTGAATATCAGCCTGAATATTGGACGCTAACACCAGTACGCCTTACAAGACGCTCCAATTTGAAGTCAGCTACATACGTGTCCTTGGAGGTGACCTTTAGGCTATGTTCTTCAAACATGCTTCGAGCTACATGATGTTGCCAATCAATCGTGATTTACAATTGTTGAAGACAGGCATGCATATTTAACGTATGCTTTTCAGACCAAACTAGCGTAATATTATTTATTTATTTATTTATTTATTTATTTATTTATTTATTTTCGTTACAGGCACGCCCACTATTGGGGCCATTATAGATACCATAATGTAGATGATATTCATTCATAGAGAATAACATTCCAAGTAGCATACAAATTTGCTTAATACATTGGTGAACAACAACAAAATATAAAAAGCCATGACTTCGTTATCAAGTGCAAACAAACAAGCAAACAATACGCCCATTCCTGTCACGTTGTAACACGTTGAAGCATTCTTTTTTCCCACAGCTATAGAGATGTGGAATGACTTGCCGAACGACGTGCACAATCACCTGAATCATTTTCATCGCTGTTGGAAATTCATTTAGAGGCATTGCAATAAATCCTGTGCTATCTTCGCCGAAATAAAGGTTTAAACAGTGTATCACGCATGTACTCCCACACTGCTACATGTGCTTAACCGCCTGCATCTGCATATCAATGTTACCGTTGATGTTCTCATGCTAAGTAGTTTTTTTTTCAGTGAAACACATGTGCATTGTTCATTTATTGCTTTATACTGTTATATCGTTATTTTTCTTTGCGATATGAAGTGTTATTTGCTCTGTACGCCCTCTCCTGTATAGGCCTGAAAAGGCCCACAGTATTGAATAAATAAATAAATAAATAAATAAATAAATAAATAAATAAATAAATAAATAAATAAATAAATAAATAAATAAATAATAAACATTCCTACCAATCTGTTATACACTGTTAAAAAAGTGTGCATCTAGCTCATCTTCAAAATCCGCCCGGCCATCATGCGCCAGGCAAACTGTGCCGCATTTTATTGGCGAGAGGGAGAAAAAAAAAGCAAAAGAAGACAGAAAAGAAAAGCATGAATTTCAAAAGCACCAGACTTTTCCGTATGCATGATCCGAGAAGATCCGGACAAACGTCGGAGACCGAATGAACAATATGCGCAATTTTTTCAGAAGCACACTCAGCAAACTGCTGACTTGCGCATACCAAGCCAGATATTTGAGCAATAAATTGAAGGCACAAAAATGTTTTATCAGCGTCTAACCTACTACAGTGCAGTGTGCAAAAGTAAAGGGGAAAACACTAAAAGGTACGGGAAGTACTGACGTGCTACCTTAGGTTGCGCATGGGTCCTAACTTTGTGCTGAATGCCGATAGCGTGTCGGCATTAGTAACACTTGCATTTAGTTTATTCCATTCGCTTTTTGTTTTGTTATGTATTTGTTACTGAACTAATATGATTTGCACAAATGCAAGAAATGGAAGAATACTACGAATCTAGCCTCTGCACTGTATGCAATGGAACGCAACGTAAATGCAGCATCTCGGATGCGGTGAGAAATGACACGCATGCTTAAAAGTACTGCAGACAGAGAACTAAGCGAAAGGACTGAGCACAGATAGGAGGATAACTTGCTAGTTATTCGCATTGGAATTTAATATTGCCTTGCCCTAGTAGGTGCTGCTGCCCTGAAGGTCGCGGGTTCGATTCCGGCCGTGGCGGTCGCATTTTGATGGAGGCGAAACAGTTGAGGTACTGCTTACTCTGGGATGTCAGTGCTCGTTAAAGAACACGAGATGTTAAAAATTTCCGGAGCTCTTCACCGCGGCGTCTCTCATAATCATACCGTAGTTATGGGACGTGAACCCCCAGATACTATCAAGTTCATATGGCCGCGAGCTATGCTTTCTTTTAAAAGACGATAGTCTTTCTTGGGGACCTTGGACGAAAAAATTGTGGTATGTCTGTCTGTACATTTATCTGTTTGTCCGCTGTTGGGACTCCGGGTCCTGCCGGTCTCGTTTTCGGTAGCTGGCCCCGTCGCAGGATCCATCGTCCAACAATTCAGCGAGAAGGAGCGCCCGAACGAACAACAGAGATTTATTTACATGTGGAGAAGTGGTCAACTGACCCGAAGAGAGAAGAGTGCGTGTGATACAAAACGTCTTCGGCATTTTATAGCGCCGCGCCGTTGACACTGGGCGCCCCGTCCGCATCGTCAGCCAATACGGTGTCTCCGGCCCCTCGGCCACGAGAGAGGGGGAAACACACCTCACAACACATGGAGTGGCACATCCCAACACGAGGTCCATATATGGTCACGGCGCCCTAAAATGTTACCAAACATGGTCACGAACGCACCGCAGACCCCGGAGCTCTCCCGGCGAGGAGGAACCCGAATGGGGAGGTGGGGGTGGACGACACCGTCAGGTCAAGAACCGGTTCTCCCCCAACCTTTTCCTGCTTGGCTCCCCAGGGCCGGTCGTAACACCGCCCTAACGATACCTCAAACGGCACCAAACGGCCAACCCCATCCGTAGCACCCACCAATATTGCTCAAGGTTTAGCGTTCATAGTTGTGCGATTGTCAATTAAAAAGCAATTATTGCGCATATCTGAGGTGCCACAAAACGCTTCGATGTTTTCTATGTCTGCCTTTATACTAGAAGAGGCACGCACAAGTAACTCTAAGGAATGTAGCGTTTAATCGCGCTGCGCTGACAGTGCAACGCGATGTTCAAAAAGGTGTTTCCAACGCTTTGCTACGACATCACGGTGGTGGCACCTGCCCGTCGCCTTGTGTTCTACACTTTATCACCTCCGAGACTGGCGCGCATCTTTCTCCGCGGGCTACACGCCTTCGTTTTCGAAGATAACTTCCAGAAGGCACTTGTGTCAAACGTGTCCTAGATGCGCTCGTTCGCCTACGCCACACGCTCGAGGCACTCTAACGCAGCGCCTGCAGAATACAATTCACCGATTTTCTTGCGCAGGACATCAACTGAACGTTTTGTTTACTCTCTCCAGACGCAAGACTATCGTCTTTCGACGACATTTACAGTGTAACATGTAGATTCGAGCCAATTTTTTTTGTGTCTTTATAGTTTCTTATCAAGTAGCCTTATCAATGTTCAAAGGTAAGCGTGAGCTTCTCTCTTTTCTCTCTTGTATGCCGCACAAGATATCTGATCTGACAAGGACAAAGTTTACGCCCTGTCGTCGCGGTATGAAGAATGTTATGTCTACCGGTGGCAGATGTCACGAAGTGGCGCTGTCACCACGACGTGGCTGTTTTGTCTATCCCGCGGTTCCCCAAGGGCGAACGCGAATGTAAAAACACTCGCAAAAAAAAAAGGACGAGCGCTCTTCGTTCTCCACCGACGCTCGCCTGCGCACGTCGAATGGTTGGCTGTTACTTAACCGCTTGCATTGTACCTTGAGTCTTTTAAGGAGCACACGTTCATGCCAATAAACTTTTTTTGCCAAACGAACCCTATATAGTGTTCAGCTACGTGACAGTGACGCCTCCCCCCCCCCCCCCCCCCCCAAAAAAAAAGGTGCCCGTACAGTTACAGGTAAAGGCACAGGCGTTCCGCGGCAGGCGTGCTAGCCAAAAATTTTTTTTTCGGGAAGAGAGGGGGGCACTACCTTCCTTGATTTCGGGGAGGGGCACCCCCTTAAAATGGCCATTTTTCGCTTACTATGCAATAGTGAAAAACATTTCGGGGGGCGGGGGGCACGTGCCCGGTGTGCCACCCCCTGGCTACACCCCTGTTCAGCAGAACCAAAATAAAGATAGTTTCCTTCCTTCATTCCGTACAGGTACCACGATGTACATCATCACTCACCAGAAATGGAATCTCCGTGACGTAATTCGCCAGGTAGAAGACTTTGAGGCTGTACCAGCAATTTCTTTGCTCTCTCATTAGTACTGAGATGTTCACGGGAACTGCAAAAGCGTGAAGGGGTTGTCAAAAAGGTCACCGATTTCTTGAACAAATTAGCAAACTTCGAAACTCCTCTTAATTTTTATACTTCTTGGTTGGGAACAAATATCGCCGGGTCTCACTATGTTCGCTGAAACTACTGGAAGGAGAAGCGTTAGTGCATTTCCTTTGCGTTAAAGATGTGCACACAACGTGCTTTAACTGCCTACTCCTATTTCGACATTCATTTATATTTTACTAATTAGTCTTTTTTAACTAACGTCCACTAATCAACTGCCGCTAAGCAGTGATTAGCTGTCACTAGTGGAGTTTTAAACAACTTTCAATAATATTTAATAGATTGGTAATTACTGTATCGTTCACAATTCTGTGTGTATCTCATGCTTTGTCTACTATGCATCGCCTTTTCTTTACCTTATAGATATAGGCTACATAAAACGTGTTTACCGGTCTAATCCTGTTGCGCATGTCTTTAATTTTCACTAATTAGTTCCCTAATTATCATTCACTCATCAACTGCTGCTAATTCACTGAATAGCGGTCCCTAGCTGACTTTCTAAATAACCTTCATTAATCCCTATCGGCTTTGTAATTACTGCATCGTTAAAAATAGTGAATCGCTGAGCCAGCGATTCAATTCATCGTAGAACGTGAAAAAAAAAAGCAACGTTCCTCCTTTCCTGGATGTGCTAGTGAAAAGGCAAAAATCGGAGCGTGGAGATGAACGTCTAATCTTTTCCGTATACCGAAAACCTACGCTCATCGGACGGTATCTGCAGTGCACTTCTAACCACCCGACTGCACACAAAACATCAGTAGTCAAGGCACTCCCTAATTGCGCAGGGATCATCTGCAGCTCTAAAAAACGCGAAAAAAAAAGAAGAAGAAGCAATCACCACCGACCTGCTGGACAATGAATATCCGAGAAGCTTTATTTGTCGAGTATGCCAGCGAATTGGCTACCGCGAAACGGCTTTCTGCGAAAGATAACCCTAACAGCGAGGCCTATCCGAAGCAATCCTACCGCATCTCTGTCCCATACGTGCCGGGGAATCAGCGAGCAGTTGTCTAGGGTTCTGGGGAAAAAGGGCATTCAGGGTGGCGCACAAACCGGTCTCAACAATCGGGCGATTCTTGCCGTGACCCGAAAGACCGTCTGCCGAAAGAGAGGTTCCCCGGGCTAGTCTACGAAATTCCATGCGCAGACTGTCCCGCCACCTACATCGGTGACACGAAAACCTTCCCCGAAAGATTACAACATCGAAACAATGTGTGTAACCTCAAAGCCGCACGAAACACTCTCGCTGAACACAGCGAAAAGACAGACCACCGCATCAATTTCGACGACGCCCGGGTCATTGACACGGAGGGTAGCCACAGAAAAAGGCAATTCTTAGAGTCCTGGCACATACAAACAAGTCCTCGACAAGTTAAACACTCAACTGGAACTTTACCCAGTGTATACATGCATGGTCTACAGGACTCGCTCGCTAGATTTCGTGCCGACCGGTTGTGCCCCGCGATCTCGGACGACAGCGCAGCTCTGGCCGACTGGGCTCCCCCCACCCCCTACGTCATCTCCTGACACCGTGAAGGTCTCGCCGAGTGGTGCCCCGTCCTCGGACTCCTGCGACCTTGTCAATCTTTCCTATCTCCTGTTTACTTCTGTATGTGGGTCTCCCTATCCTCCCTATTCCTTTTAATCCCTCCTTACCCCCATCCCTCGTGAGCCACTGTTGAGGTGTCGTACTATGATGCAGACAGTTACGGGGCTCACTTTTATTTATTTTTTTCTCTTTTAAAAATCATTCACAGAAACAGCTGAGAAAACACCACAGCAACAACAACGGTAGAAAGAAGAACGATGGAGAGGGCGACACCGCAAAAAAAAAAAAAAAAATCGCGAGCTTCGGAGCCGATCAAGCAGTCACCCCTGAAGAAGGGACTGAATAGGTCTCGAAACGGGCTCGGGTCAGTTCACAGTCCTTACCCTCTATGTTTGGACTGTAACTCGACTGGAGAATTTATGTTATTAGTAATAATAGTGTATGTATTTCATGTTTTAGTCCGTTTTGCATGCTCACCTGAAATGACAAGTGCTGTTTTTTTTTTTTCAGCTGTTTCGCGTTGTCGCCATGGTTTTAGTTCACGGTCACGTTCACATGAGATACAAAAGGATTACCTTCTAGCTGCCGCGAGGATGAAGTGGTTAGAGTGCTCCGATTCTGACTTGAAGGTAGACGATGGGTTTCGGCACTGACCGGGACATTCGCATTTCCGGCGGAAGCGAGTATGCTACAGGCCAGTGTACTTACACTTAGGCGAACGTTAAGTAACTCCAAGTGGTTGAAATTTCTGGAACCATCCAATAGGACGTGCCTCATAATTATATCGCAGGATTTGGCACGTAAAACCCCGGCAGTCATTAAGGAATTTCGCCTTTATTCATGCAAGTGTACAGAAGCACAGTCTAACTGAAAATGGTACAGTATACTGTTTGATCTTGCGCACATCTCGGGACTTACAGACTATGACGGCGGGAAGGATGGTCTGGAAGACACATATGCAGCACATGGAGAAGAACATCGTGGCGTTGTGCGTCACCGTGCTCGCCTTGTTGCCGATGTCGTAGTACAGGATGACCAACATGAGCGCGAAGCCGACGTATGCTACGATACGTAGGGGTGTGGCCACCTGCGCCCAACAACGTGAACACACAGTCGCATGTGCTGAATACGTGCACGAATAACTAAGGCGGCACTGTATACTTAAACACGAAACCTCATCTTGACGACTCTCTTCAGATCTCTAACGCGAATACACACGCAAAATATTTCAGCTACAGTTCTCGCTATAAAATTTGGAAACAGAAAAACCGACGTTTCCTCGCCAATAAACGTTGTCTGGGCGTTTATTGTTCTTTGCAATCGTGCACACATTGCTCAAAGTAGAATTACTCATCAAGCATCTTCCTGGCTCGACTATCCTTCGTTTTACACAGTATATACATTAGGGGTAAAATAATAACGCTCAAACGCGCCAAATATAACTTTGTGAGCTTTGTTGTAAACAAAGAGCGACTGAAATTCCACGCATTAAATACAACATCGCTGAGCATGGGGCTAAGTAAAGTTACAAAAATACACTTTGAAATTAAAGCTATGACGTTTTCATTTTTTTATGCTCGTTGATTTGATAAACTGAAAACTGGCTGCTTTTCTGCCACTATATAAAAGAAAAGGTTACACGTTTGCTATCAACAAAAAGCGAATAATGATCGTAAAATTATGACTTACCTTTGTTACGGAAAACAGAAAGCCAGCACCTTTTAAGTAGGATCTGGAACTGATGAAACTGGTTGACTTTGAAAAGAGTACATCCGATTGGCGTCGGCCTTTTGCTGTAGATAATAAAAAACACACACACACAGGACATCCATATCACTGTCCACATCTGTGATCACTATACGAAGGACGTTATGAAGAAATAACGCTAAATTAAAATGTATTACTGGGTATTAGAAGCTGCACACAGACGCACAAAATGGGGCGCATGTTGTGCTTCTACTAATTATACGGCACCCATTACACAATGAACACTTGTTTTCTACTATACAAGAAGTGGATTTGAAGAAAATATTTATCTCCCAATAAACGCATGAAAAAAATCACGAAATATCCACGGAGTGAATGATGATGAATGCGACGAAGCGTCCGCCAGTCTATCTGTGCTGCCATCCGTCCGTTCGATTCTTGCTTCCGTCTATCTGTGCGTCCTACCCGTGGATCTGTACGTGCGCCCGTTTGTGCGTCCGTGCGTCAGGCCGTCCATCCATCCGTCCAGTCCGTCCGCCCATGCGTCCATTCGTGCGTCTGTCTGTGCGTCTGTCCGTCCGTGTCCCGTCCTGTGCGTCCATGCGTCCTGCTGTCCAGTCCATTCGTGCGTTAGACAGTCAGACAGACGACGGACGGACGCGACCAGTGCATGATTCACGGTTAGTCTATAAAACCCTTCAAAGCTTCGCTCCACTCATCATCATTCACTTCCGTGGATATGCTGTGAGCTGGATTACTACATACATGCGTACATACAGGTAACGACCGACCCAGTTATTGTTGTTACATGGACGTGGAAATTGCATGGACGCAGTTATTGTTACATGGACGTAGGAAATTGCATTGCTTACTGTTCGTTAGGTCCGCTAATGTCCTAAATCGGGGCTACTACAGGTATCTGGTCCGAAAAATTGACAGTAACGAAAGTTTTCAGCTATGAAAATTTTATTTAAACTGATTATTTGAAAGAGACGTTATCAATTTTTAACTCACGTTTTGATTAAATTATTCAGTGATTGACTGAATCCAAGAGTTTTATTTTCCTCGTCTCTCTCCTTCTTTCTTTCCTTATTTCCTCTATGCTTCCCCTTCCCGAAAAAGCAGGACAGGCGTTGTGCCTCTATAGGTGGCAGTTGTCAACCTTTACCCTCTGTATTTTCTCTGTCTTTGTGTTTTCTGTGTACTCAAATAAATTTGGAGTGTATAATTTTTGCCTCAAGAATAACAGACACAGCTTAAGTTGCGTTATCAGTTAGCTAATATATTGGACGGGTGATAGCCTTTCTGAGGCGGTCGGACCTGCCACAGTGGTTCTTTCTTATCAATAAATTTGATAACGATCAACTCACCTTCTATTACGTCTAGCTCACCTCTAGCTGTCTTCGTCTATATATAGTCTCTGTAGTAAGCAGTTATAATATCTGCAATGCCTATGCAGGCATAATTGCAAATTCGCTTAAGGGATATTTCTCTGCCTGCTACATCTCAAAACATCACCCTGATGTCGGACGCTATTGTCACGAAGCAATACGTTGGGCTAGTTGTTATCTAGCTTCCATATTTGCAGCGCGACATGACACAACAGAGAACAAGACATACAAGAGAAACAGAACGCTGTTTCTGTCAAACGAAGTTTTATTGATATCAGCAATCTTTTTATGCCCTCTAGCAGCCAAAAAAACGTACAAGAAAACATGTGAGGACGAAACATTATGTGCATGCTGTCAGAAAACAGACACGCGTCAAATTTCACAGTCAAGGTAGTTGATTTCTTTTGGGGACTGGACCACTGAGGGTGCACTTCTACACACTTCCTGCAATCTTGTAATTGCATGCGCTTCTTGTATTTCTCTTGTTGCAGGTATCGCGATGTTTGCCAATATCGCATTGCAATGCTTCAGCGCATTCTCGCCAGATCTACAATTTCTGCAGTGTTTGCCACTTGGCCACAAGTGATCACGCGTGCGACAATGTCGTAGTGCCCCGTGTCTTCTGTGCGATGTCATCTCGTGCTGGAAGGGACGCTAGTCGCCATTAAAGTGTATGAAACACGCTACATCGGGCGATTATCCGCGTATTTACGCTCCAGAGTTTTGCAAAGCTTCGTGAAAAAATTTGCGCGTTGGTCATTTGAAGCGCATCATGTTATTAAAGTTGATTAGTATTTTGAAGAGAGTAGTCGCTGCGATTCACGTGCGTTTTAGGATATTCTGCGTCGGCCGATGGATACAATGATGCATGGCTTCAAAGTTAAAAATGTAAGGAACGAATGAGAGAGAGATGGGGAAGATACAGAATGGCCTAAACCGAATAAACAAACCACAGCCACTGCCCTATACGCACCTCGTTGGTCATGATGAGACCTCCGTACTTCGTTTTCGTGCCTTTAGTGGCTTCGCTGCTGTCGGGTACAGGCAGTTCGAACTCGCGGGCTAATGCGTCGCGGTAGTCGCCGTAGTCGCCAGACGCCACTTCGCTGACTGCGAAAGAAAGAAGCAACGTTAGTTCAGCACTGCATTGAACACCTGACACCACCACTGGTGACGAAGCGCGAGCTGAAAAATATAACGGAAAAGTGGTTTCTTAAGCCAGCCAGTAGAACTCTTTCCTTCTATTACGGGTATTATAATTTACGATAATAATTTCCCGCATCGTATCACCAGCTGTTCTTCCCGTTAGCCCTCACGTTAGCAAGGAAAAGTTTCCCCTAAATAAACAAACAAGGTTTACTTTGATCTAATATAGCTACTTTGAGTGTGCCAGTCCAAGGGTCCCAAGTCTTATTCAAACAAATAACACCTAAATGCACCTTGGACGTTATTAATGTGAATGGTATTTTCGTACAAAAAACCGAGTTTTCGTCGGTGATAAAACAGCTTTCGCCACAAGTGATTGGCGCCCTTGCCCGACTTCGCTGTTCTAATTGGACGAAGTCATCATATTCGTGTTGTACGTCATCGCGTCACAACAGCCGCTCCGTTCCTTTCAACACCAAAAGAAGACACTGTAGAAAAGGTGTAGTCATGAAAAACATGATCACTGAACGACGTACGTCCACGGTTTAAGACTTTTTCGATGATATGTGGGGTTCAACGTCTCAAAACCACCATATGATTATGAGAGACGCCGTAACGGAGTCATTCGGGAATTTCGAGCACCTGGAGTTCTTCAACGTGGACCCAAATCTGAGCACACGGGACTAAGCGTGTCAGCCTAAAATTAAGTTTTAAATTACCGTTAGTCTTAGGAGAGCGTGGCTAAAAACGTAATGCACGGCCATTGTCCGTGTACCGTACATCGTGACTGCACAAGTCTACTATTCGCCCGTGCAACTCACTGTAGTCTGCAGGGTTGTGGAACTGTGGGCACTGCAGACCATGCCTCGTCAGGAAGCCCAGCAGGTTATCCACCTTGCCGTTGTAGATGCAACGACCCGCAGAAACCATGTAGAGCTGCGAAGAAGAGGGCGCCAGTATCTAGTGACACTGAAGCTCGTTTGTATATGAAAAAGAAAGAAAAGTTTTCACTATAGTCATGTGAAGATTGAAAAACAGCGAAGCTGGTTCATATTAGGGGCTTAAACGTGTCTTTCTTGGCTGATCCTATATGTCTTTCCTTGGCGTATACATTGCAGAGTCGAACCGCAGCCTCTCACATACCCTGCAAGAGTGCCCAAACTACAGCGCCGGAACTAACGTTCAAAGCTTGCTGCGGCACCCCCTTTAGAAACGCGGGCCTCTAGTTGCTGGTGTAACCAGAAAGGTGCAACTGGCTCGCGCCTCGCCGGAAAATTCGGCGCGGCGGCTGCGTGGACTCTCTCCGTCGGAGGGCGCGGCTGATAAGTTAAGGGTATTAAGGGTACTAAGCATTACGGCTTGGTGGCGTTAGCCACCGCCCGATCTAAAGGGTATACCCATAGCAATCCATCCATCCATCCATCCATCCATCCGTAGAGAAGGTAGCATATACAGTATCTCTAGTTAAGGGTGCGTGATAAGGAAATGCGTGGAGACGTTTTTGCGGATCTCGAGCTTTAAGAGCTTCGCTCTTTAAAAAAAAAAATCGAGAATCGGGAAGTATTTCTTCCGACGTCTACAATCGAAATTTACCTCGGTGTACTTTTCTTGCGCTATAAACGGTCCCGGCACTTCCCAGTCACCATCGGAGGGTCCGTCATCAGCATGACATAGCATGCTTGATAGCGGAGCGCCGAGAGTTGGTTTTTCAAGAAAGGAAACGCGAGCAAGCCAAATAACGATTACGTGTAGTCATGTGGCACATATACTCTTCAAATACTCGGTGCTTGTTGTTGTTGTTGTTGTTGTTGTTGTTGTTGTTGTTGTTGTTGTTGTTGTTGTTGTTATCAGCGTTAGCTCGACGCAGTTTCTTCCGTTGAGTTTCACAGTTACTTCTGCTAAGTCACTTGGCTGTTTGTGGCAATACGAAACATTACGGCAAATACGGTCGTAACACTCAACGAGAAAAACAACGCAAGCCATGACGCATCGCTATTTTACGGCACATGCGCATGTTGGATCGTCATTCAGCAGAATAAATTGATGTCTATTCTTTTGAGATTTCATTGAACAGAATGTCTTTGTTTGCTTGTACGGTAGGCCGAGCCCTGCAAATCACTATCAGTGTACGAAAATCACACGGCAAAAAGTAAGCGCCAATTTTTTCTAAGCGTCAGACTCTCAGAGCTTTGTTTTATACCACATCAAGACGTATACACGTTAATCGATTATTTTTACAATGCTATTTTCACAAAGCCTGTACTTTCACTGCACCGCTGTGCGCGATGGCCCACATAAAAAGTCGTGTGTCATGAAGAAAGCATGCTTATGCACGGCCGGGCTAGACTGCACCTGAGTGCTCGTGCAGGTGCAGTCTAGCTCGGCCGTGGCTTATGCTTCCCCCTCCCGTGCGTGCACTTATTGTGGCCGATCACTGAAGTTATCGCATTGAGTAATTTGAAATGCAGACATTTGATACATTTCCACGGGGAAATGGGGCAACATCTTGGAAGGACACAGAAAGAAGAGTAGCTGATAAAGTACATCAAAATATCTACCCCTCTTTGTTCCGTTAGTTTTTGTCTTACATTGAAATGTTCAACATACGTCACACAATCTCGGCGACACGCATTCCACCATGAAACCCGAAGCGCATATCCCTGTAACGTCAACTAACAAACGCACATTTGTTCAAAGCAACAAGAGCTTGACAGCGTACAAAAACCTGTGATTCAAGTGAAACCAATAAATGCGACCGCACGTTATACAATCATGCGACGATTGTCAGGTGCTCTCACCATGTCGAAGTAAGAAAAGATCTTGGCACTCGGGGCGTGTATGGAACAGATGACAGTGTGTCCCATGGAAGACAGCCGCTTCAGTATCTGTACGCACATCAGACTTGACACGTTGTCCAGGCCACTGCGTGATCAATACATACCAGGGTTGAAATTCGGCCTCGTAGAAATTTGGGCTCCCTTCCAAACTCCTGCCAAAATTACGATGGACCATATCAGTGGCGGATCCAGAGGAGGGGGCGGTGGGGGCGATAGCCCCCTTCCCAAACCCTGTCAGCACCCCCCCCCCGTTCTCTTTAGTGCTTGGCATCATCTGATATCCTTAATTAAGACAAATGAGCGGGATTACTTTGAGCACACATTAACAGTATTTATGCTGTGAGAGAGTTTTTGTCGTAGTAAAAAAAATTATGTCCACGCCCCGCTTTTCAGTGTTACTCTAAGCGACCGCCCCCCCCCCCCCCCCTCCTAAAATGAGTGGCTGGATCCGCCCCTGGACCATATCGTATTCTCGAACAGACTTCTCCAGTAAACTACCTCATTGAGCCTCATACGCCACCGTCAAACTTGCGACGTCGTAACCGCGAGGTTCTCAAGCCGTACCATGGTTCTATCGCACTTGCAGTCGCCAGGATGACTCTTTTTTTTTTTTTTCGCGGGGCCATCGTAAAGTAGAGGAAGTACTCCAGCGCAGAGGAAGCAGCATCGAGCGTGCAGCAGAGGCTGGAGCTCGTGAACTGCGGCCGGTGCTTTGCCTGACCTGACTAGCAACAACCTCTACGCTCAATAATGTTTATTATATATATATATATATATATATATATATATATTATATATATATATATTATATATATATAAGCAGGCATGGTGGTTGAGTGGCCGTAGCGTTGCATATACTCCAGTAGATCCTGCGTGAGCGGTCACAACGTGGTTTATTTCGACGTTTCGGCCTAGAGTGTGGCCTTCATCAGGATTAAAGGTACAGTTTGTTGGTGCTCAGCTTTATACAATCTCAAATCAGAGGGAAAGGAAAGAGGAAAAAGACAGAAAAAAATAAAAAAAGAAGAAAAGAAAGAAAAAAAAAGAATATAAGGTGGACTCCCCTCGGGCGCACCCCTTCCACTCTTCCCTCCACTTCCCCCTTCATCTCTCTCCCCTTTCTCTCCTTCACCTTTCTGATGTCAGCGGTCTGTGTATGCTTCCTTTCAATGCGTTAGTGAAAGGAAGCATACACAGACCGCTGACATCAGAAAGGTGAAGGGGAGAGAGATGAAGGGGGATGTGGAGGGAAGAGTGGAAGGGGGCGCCCGAGGGGAGTCCACCTTATATTCTTTTTCCGCTCACGGAGGATCTACTGGACTCTCTCTCTCTCTCTCTCTCTCTCTCTCTCTCTCTCTCTATATATATATATATATATATATATATATATATATAATATATATATATATATATATATATATATATATATATATATATAATATATATATATATATATATATATATATATATATATATATATATATATATATATATATAATCAGCGCTCTCATCTATACGGACCGCTGATTAGTATAGCTTCCCATTTAGCTGTACTAAATTGCCTGTCGCCACGTAACAAGACAGTCCTACATGTGGTCGGCTGTCATGCGGTCAGATGCGTCCATGACATCGCACAATGCCCTAATATTCCAGTTTAAACAAGTGCGATGTGCGGAGCCGACCGCATCTTCGGTGAACAGCTCCTTATTATTCAGGGCGGTGAAACGAAATATACTATAGAATGTTTGTTTCACTTCGCGAAAGAAATTTCAGTGACGTGACCTCGAATCATTGCGTCGATAAACACAGTAATAATTTTTTATAGCTATGTATCGGACACCTGCTCTCATGAACTCTTGAATACTAAAGAGGAGTTCACTATAATTGTAGACGACCCTGTGTGTAACGTACAAATTAAGTTTTACCCAACCAGCAACCAACAACGTTCCCCTCCTGCTCCTTTTACTGTGACCATCAAAGCACTCAACTTGCCTAATCTCTATATTTCAAGTCAATTTTTAGTCACAAAATTATCTGCTTTTTTAAAATTTGCTTAAGGGTCATCGAAAACAGTCACTGTTTACATACGCCCAATGGACATGCATGCTTTAGGAAGGTATTACGTGACAGAATGTGACGTAACTTTGAAGCAAAAGTATAGGGCCACGCCGATTTGGATACTATCGGAAAGCTGTTCCTGTGCAAGAAGCCTTTCTATTGAACGCAATGCTTAGCCCATAGAACGAACTATCCAAATCACAAAGGAGTCTCAGGGCGAATCAGTGCTTCCAACGAAAACCCCGCGGAAATGCAACTCCTAGCCACTGCTTTTCGCGCCATCCCACAGTAGCACCGGTGAGCGACTACGTGTTACGTTGAATATTGGGTCCAACCAAGCTTCTAGTCTTGCCCCGCCGTGGTTGTCTAGTCGTTAAAGTACTCAGCTGGTGACCTGCAGGTCGCGGGATTGAATCCCGGCTGCATGCGGCGGTCAATAATATGGCCGACAGACTAAGCCTGCGTGGAAGAAAATGGGTTAGGGCAAAAACATTTTAAAAAATAAATCAACAAAGATTTGTTGATTGTACACGTCACTCGCCGGTAACGAAGCGGCAGACGGGGCGGCTCGAGGGCTCCACGCGAAGGAACTTCCCACGCACTACCCACGCGCTACCCACGCGCTACCCACGCAGCCGCAACGCACGTGCCGGGACTTTTGCCGCACCTACACGAAGGGTAAAAAAGCGTCGCCGATTCGCTAATCCCCCCCCCCCCCGCTTGGGTGTGGCATGGGTCCCGGCACGTGCGCTGCGGCTGTGCGGGTAGCGCGTGAACGGACCGAGCCGCCACCATCACAACAACCACCGGCCCTGCCACGACTTCGGGTGGGGAATGGGAGTGGGAGGATCGCCTCACCAGTTTTAAGTATATTCAGATTCAGATTTTTTTATCGATACGAATCCAAGAATGTTACATGCGTTTAGTATAAGAAAGCAGGTCCCAAAGTCGAAGACTGTATTGGGACCTCCTTAGCGCCGTTCTATGCTCTAGCCGCACAGCCGCAACGCATGTGCCGGGACCCCTCCCGCACGCAAGCGGGGGACAAATAGGCCAATTGGCGACGCTCTTTCACCCTCCGCTTGGGTGCGGCAGGTGTGCCGGCACGTGCGTTGCGGCTGTGCGGCTAGGGCATGGAACGGTCATTACAGCATTACACATAATTACAGATTGGCCAGGGTGAAAATTCTGCCGCCACAATAAACACTCAACAAGAAGCAGGCGGTCACGTGGCCACAACTGCAGACGAGAACGTTCCCGAACCCGGTGATCTTGAATCTCTGTTACCCAGACCTTTATCCGTCCCGCTACGAGTTTTGCGAGGTCAAGGCTACCCTGAACCATATATGTTATGGACGTGTGACAGAGGTGGTGATCCAGACGAGGACGCAGCCTTGAACCGAGCGCACTGGGGGAGTGCACTGCTCAGCCATGCGCTCGAGGACCAAACGTGGGCCGTCCAGCGGGCCGAGGAAGCCGCCAGAGCTCAAGAGCTCGTGACCGAAACGTCGCCCAGATGCCTGAAGAACTCGCCGGACTTTTTCCCCCTTTTTTAATAATGTTACTTCTCTCTATATATACAAGAAGTGTAAAACTATATACTCTTAGATGTGTGTCTCTAGTATTCCTTGTCCGTAAGAAGCGTATCACATCCATATGGGGGCACTTACCTGGTAGGTTCGTCGAGGAAGAGAACAGGCGGGTTGTTGACCAACTCTTGAGCGATGGCCAGCCGCTTCCGTTGGCCTCCGGAGAGGTTTTCTGTCCGTGTGTTGCGACACACCTCCAGGCCCCACTCTTCAATCGATCGCTCAACCTACAGAAAGGAAAGGGGAGGAAAAGCACGTCACTTGCATCTGATCAAAAAAAGTCGTAGAACGGATGTAGCCGACTATAACCACCCGTGTAATTCTTCTCAAGATGCAATCAAACGTTTTCGGAAATGACTGTAGCCAACTTAGCCAACCTTTTTGGATAGTGCAAAAAAGAAGGAAAATCTCTTTATCTCCTCATACCCTCACACACATAGGTGCCCTCCTCCCCCTTGGGAGGGGGCATGGATGGGCGCCCTGTTCCCCCAGTCACATAAGAACTGGAGGGCGCAAAATATGCCCCCTGCATAGGCTTAAGGGGGTCGCCGCTATAAACACCCCCCCCTCTCTTTTTTTTTTTGATTGGGAACTCTGCGCACGCCTATTCTCACACATGGTGTTATCTGGCTCCCGTGTGTGAACCTTTTCCTGCGTAGTGCTGAAAACTAAGGGTCAATGTGGCCCCTTAATCCGAAAATGCCTTCTCTTGATCATCGTGTCTCAATTTATACGTTATTTCGCTGCCCAATTCGTGGTGATATAGTAGGCACGTAAAAAAAGCACATTGTTGAAGAGCTGGGCTGCGAATTCTTCTCTGTTGTTTTCGAACTGATGCGTTAAACGAAGTGTGTATTGTGGGAATGTTAAATCTTTATATACAAACCACGGTGTAGGGAGGCTTTATTCAAAGGTGGAGTTTGATGCATGTGAGAAATAAAAACCGACAAAGCCAATATTATAACTTACCTAAAGATACATAGCTACATTATGCACATAACTAATCTTGTATGCATCGTAATAGTTAAAAATTTTCGCAAGACTGTCACGTACTTTGTGCAACGTTGCCGTGCCAGTGATGTGCAGGGCTGTGTTGTGCAGAGCAGTGTAATGCAGTGTGTTGCGAAGCTCAGTGGTTGCCCCTTGATTTATCCTAAATGTTGTCCAGTGACATCTTTATGCGAAAAATAATAATAGGCTTGAAGTATCAGTCTGAACACTACAGCAAGCACTAGAAGTTCCGGTCTTATTTATAACACTTTCTTATCTGCCATCCGGTAACGTTTCAAAGCACAGGCTCCAGGAGCTCACAGAAAACCTAGCATACCACAGATGTTTTATTTGTACAAATTTCGACTTTTGATATTTGCACGGCAGAGAGTGCCTCTACGCCTAAATATATATTTGATATCAGTACAGTTAAGTTTTTACTAATGCCTGCATATGAGTGTTGGGTGAAAGACGCTTTGTGATAAAATAATATCGGTAATTTAACGCCCCCCCCCCACCCGACGGTCTAACGGTTGCGGTATTGGACTGGTGCTGACCCGCAGGTCGCGAGATCGAATCCCGGCCGCGCCAGCCACATTTTCGATGGAGGCGAAGTTGTTTGAGGCCCGTGTAGTGAATTTTAGGTGCACGTTAATAACCCTATGGGGACGGACTTTCCGCAGCCCTCCACTACGGCTTCTCTCATAATCACACCGTGGTGCTGGGACGTTAAACGCGATCAATTATTAATATATGGGGTGTTACATCACAAAACCACAATATGATTACGGGAGACACTGTAGTGAAAGGTTTCGGAAATTCCGGCCATCTTAACCTGCAGCGACACCGAACAGGGCACGGGCCTCTAGCATGTCACCTACATCAAAATGTGACCGCTGCATCTCAGATCAGCAGTTGAGCGCTGTACCGCTACAATGACGGAAAAGGACGTTTCGTAAAACTGGCTGATAGTTGACAGCTAGTTTCTGGCAATAGTATACAAGAGCACTTTTCATGCGAAAATATGGCGCTTGCATGTCACTTCTTCTCTCTGTGTCGGTCATTACTTACTTTGCTCATAATGTAAAAGACATGCTGGGGCAATGTTCCACTGAATTCAGTGTCTGTCATGCAGTGCCTTAGAACACACCAATAAAATATATGCTAAGAGCAGAAACACACACATTTCTTGCAACTAATTATGTCTTTTTGGCTTGCAGTGAGGTGGAAGCGTCCAAAGCACCAGCGGAGATCTCGAAGCTCCTACCAGAACCCAACAGGCAAGTATTTCAAGGCATACTCACGTAGATTTGCTGAATGCACCAAGAAATTCCACTCTTGGTGTTATTCTCAAGCACCAGAAGAAAAAAAAAACATGTGGCCCTCAGACATACAGGCGTTATATTAATATCTTAAATGGACAACGCAAGGAGAAATAATAACAATAGTGCTTTGTGATGCAATAGTTTTTAAAAGAATTATTCTACTAAACTTCAGCACTCTAGCTTATTATGTTTCCGGGGCCTGTACGGGTGCATAAGCGGTGCGTGGACGCGCTGAGAACGCGCACTTGTGCAAATTAAAAAGCTCACGTTACATTAGTTATAGCATCACATGTGAAGATATCTTTAGTTATCTGTGTTGCACTAAAGAAAGTTTCTATATTTATTGAACACAGTTTCTCTTGAGGTATTAGCTTATAAAACTATTAAAGGACTCAACGGCTCATGAGATATAGTACTAACTACAGTCTGTGTGAAAACATTAAGCAATGCATATGAATTATCAATGGAATGGAATGGAATGAAAAAACTTTATTTTATGAATTATCAATCAAATTTTGTTTTAGATGTCATCAAAATATCATGTTCAACCAATAAAGAAAAATTGTATAAAAATGTAAGTCGGTGTTGCAGTGAAGGCGTTGGAACGGGGTCGCGTCACTCGAATGCTAAAGCATGAAATATAAAGTTTGGCTAAATTGCTGCGCCCCGTTTTTATAACGCAGAGCCCGACAACATCCCTGTGACGTTAATCTGGGTAAGCCGCGTATGGCACGAAACAATAAAGACATGTGAACAGTCCCACCTTAAGATAAATGCCACTTTAGTAATAAAACAGGCTTTCGCGGCGTCTGCTTGTATGCTCAGAGTTGTAGCGTTGTATATTTGTCAGTAACTATTACGTCACTTTTTAAGTAAGCGCGCGGTCATCCTAACAACATTTAACAGCATGTAAAAAAAACGGACTAATTCCAGGCGTCGAAGACACTGTGATAGCATCGCTGCTGATGTGATCAGGATGACACTGTAGCCAGGGCCGCGTCTAAGTCGGGGAATACAACTTCTTCCTCTCATACTGGGCAGTGTGGCTCCATGCTAAAATCACAGCGCCTTAAACTCAGAAACCGACCTTTACAGGCCTCATTGAGTAAGTTTAGGGACTTTGGGATAAAGTGGCACTCTTCTTTCTTATTATTCCTTGCCTTTTCTTTAGGTTAGCGCTTCTAGCCTGATATCCTGAGTGGCAAATTGATGGAGGCAAACGCCCACGGAACGAGCACTGTTGCTTTTCTTCTCTCTGTTTTCGGAGCTGCTCTTTCAAAGACAAAGTATGAACCGACCGGCACGCACCATGCAAGGTACCATGGCAAGTCAGCAGGGTGGAGGGTTTCTTTTCATTTTAGTCAAGCACATGCCTGTCGCTAAATGAGAACCACGTTGAAGCATTGAATAATACTAAACTTTGATACTCATTAAAATCTCTCTTTGTCTCTTAATTACACCAGACTTTATTTGATAGCTCGGCAGGTGGCTCAAAAGAGCCCGTCTGCGTTCACGTACGCTATTCGCATCTCAAAGTGAGAGTTAAACATCAAGCTAAAGCTACAACTCAGCCAGATTAAGTTCGTGGCCAACTCGAACTTGTGCATACGATTTCGTTTCACTGAGTGCGTCGTCTAGCGTGACAGTAAAAATGCCCGGCTCACCTTCTTCGCTTTATCCTTTGGTGCCATGTTGGGCATGCGCAGTTCGACGCTCATGAAGATGGCCTCGTAAACGGTGAGGGCAGGGAGTAGTCGGTCCTCCTGCATGACGTAGCAGCTCTGCTTGTTGAATAGCGCCTGTTCGCGCACGTATCCATTGATCTGGACCTCGCCCTTGTAGCCCTTGTCGCTGTAGGAAGAACAGTCGAACACGAGGGGGGGGGGGGGGGGGTGGGGGTAGAAATGACCATATTCAGTGATCGTACTAGTCTGTTGTAAGTTTTTATAAGCGAGATATGTTGGAGTAGGTATACATACGACACCGCCTGTTATTGTCCACGTCTGAATGACGTCTTCTGCACGCGCATCTCTCGTTTTGCGCCGCCATGTCTCTAATTTTGCTCAGTATTACTGGCTTCAAGCAAAAGCTCTTATTTAAAACTTAGGCTGCACAGTTTGTTTCAAGAAAAGTGTACGAATGTCCTCGAAAATAAGAAAAAAATTAGATCTTTTTACGCTGCCTTCATAATTGCTTTTTTTTTTCTGTGGTAGCATCAATATTGAGATGAATAGCGGACGACACTAGGTACTTATATTTAAGTTATGTGAGACAGGTGATTGGGTCAAAGAGCAGCCATTTTTTCAAAGAGCTTGTTGCCGTTTCTAGATTTCAGAAAAGCAGCCGCTGGTGATTACTAACGAGTAATGAAATCTGACGATTTTCTTCGGCGAAACCGATACTGAAACCAGAAAAGGGTAATTGTCGTACTCTTCAGAGACTTCCGGATTGAGTGAGGGTCCTTCTAACAACCTTCTACTGACGGTGCAATGGTTGTGCGGGTCGTCTACTATTTGATCTCATAAGTGTGCGATTTTTCAGCCTCAAAGCGGCAACGACCCCTTAGCAGGAAGGACAGCAATTCTCTCGTTCGGTCCAACCACCTGTTGCCACTGATTAATATGTTAATCAATTCATTTATTACTGTCACACTTCATGTGCATAGTCATCTTAGGATGTCTCCCACCCCAGCAAAAGTAATTACGAAGGTACCGAGCAAACATCCCATACACTCAATTTTCGTGATTTCCAGGCATATTTTTGAAACACACAATATACGCTATTAACAGCAATTGTTGGGGTTTAACGTCCCAAAAACCACCGTGTGATTATGAGAGACGCCGTAATGAAGGGTTCCAGAAATTTCAACCATCTGGGGATTTTTAACGTGCAACCAAATTTAAGCAAACGGGCCTCAAGCAGTTTCGCTTGCATTGAAAATGTGGCCTTCGCGACCGGGATTCGATCCCGCGACCTGCGGGTCAGCAACCGAGTGACTTAGCCACTAGACCACCATGGCGGGTCACTGTATACATTATTAATCTGAACTAACAGACAATAATGACAAGACATGTATAGGTTTAACAAAGGTTCAAATTCGGCGAGATGGTGGACAGCTATCGGGAACATTGAGTGCAAAAACAAAACAAAAAACAAGGCGTTCACTAGATCACCCGTCCTGTCTTCTCTGTTTTGTGAATGTCTCGATTACTGTGCTCGAAATTCCCGCTGGAAAGTGTATATGGGATGTTAAACCACGATACATATGTGCAGAAAGTAAAGTGGACGAAAAGACAACTTGCCTCCGGTAGAAACCGAACCTGCGACCTTTTAATTACGCGTCTGGCGCTTTATCAATTGAGCTAAAGCGGTGGTGGTCCATTTCATTCGTGTATATGTGTGTTTAAACCTGAAAGTAAGTTTTAGTCCGCGTCGATGGCAGCCATGGCGACGAGCGTAGAACACTCTTTTTCTTACTTGGCGGCGTTTTTGTAAAGAAGGAAAAAAAAAGTGAGCCCGACGGGAACACGCCCTAGCCTCGTAACCTATAGCCATTAACTCCAATATTTCAGAACATTGTCCGGACTGCCACAACCGCAGTGATTTTAACCACATGCTCTGGATGTGCCCCTCTTTACAAAGAAAAATGAAGAATTTTCCGAAAACTCCTTTCATTTAATGCTCACGAGTCCGGTGCTCATACAACAACTCAAGGCTGTCCAGAAGGCCCACGATGCGGCGCTGAGGCTGGGACTCCCCATCCCTACGTGGGAGCGGCCCGCGATCCTTCCCCTATAAAACGGGGGTGGAATCCTTCAGGACCCAAAAGTTTTTCATCCATCGTCCATACATACTTAAAATTCAGCTTCTTTCCTTTACTCTGCACACAATGTCACTACCGATGCTGTAGTATTCTTGAAGATACCAGAATCATGAGAGCATGTAAGCAGTCATGACCACATGCGTGGCTAGCGCCTGTGGTATACGATATGAATGTAATGCTCATGGCTACTGATATGCCCTACTAAAGACATATCTCAGTCTCTATCAAAAAGTACAGCTGAACGTTTGTGCTATATAACCGAGTATTTTTCCCCTCTATTTTTTCGTGACACACTCTTTCTCTTCTCTTTCCTCTCTCTCTCTGATCTTTATGCCCCCCTTCCCATTCCCCTAGCGTAGGGTAGCAAACCGGGCATGTGCCTGGTCAACCTCCCTGGCTTCTTTCTTGTTGTTCTTGTCATCCCCCCACCCTCCTTCCCCACGCAGATATGCTTTGTCACGGTTCCCGGGCGAAGAAGCGAATACGTATAGGCGACGATCGCCAGCCGGTTCTCATTAAGCGCGAAACGCGTATACATCAACATGGCCGTCGTGGGCGCCGCGCACGTGGACAGGTGTGCTTCTACCTGCAGCCGGACTCGAGGAGGCGGCGATACGCGAGTGAGTCGAGGTCACGCCGCTTTCGCAACGTCATGAAGATGCGCCAACCGACTCGCCGAACGAAAAGGAGTCCGCGATTGGCGGGACAAAAGCGGATGGGACAAAAGTTTGCGGAAGTGACGCAAAATCCACTTCCCAACTGGCAAGACGCGTGGCGAAACAAGTTTTTTTCTCTCGAAGTGCAACGAGAGGGAACGCGCGCTTAAACGTTTCTTCAGAAAGAGCACAGTGCATGTTCACGATGTGATGTACACAGCGCTTAGAGTCGAGTTCGTTGTTAATATTACGTCGCAGAAGGAAGGAATATAGGAAGAAAAGAATGGCAAGGAGGTTAACCAGCCTATATTCAGCTGGTTTGCCACCCTGCGTATGGGAAGGAAATGGGGGAGATGAAAGATAGAGAGGAGAGAGGGAAGAGAGATAAACGCAGCACATTAAGCAGCACACGCGCGCACACTCAAAGTCCAGTCTTGTCTTTCGTGGCGTGTGTGACATTGCTGTTACAGCCGCTGGTTCAAGTCCATGGTGTCGCGTAGCAATTTCAACAGAGCTTTTGTCGCCTTCTGTTGCAATGTCTTCTCTCGGGCGCTTGACAGAATAGTGTTAACAGATATTTGGCTGTTGTCGATGCGTGCAAGAACGGACGCCAGTGGCTGTACTCTGGATGTCATACAACGGACAGTCGCACAGGATGTGGCGTAGAATCTCTTCGCAATGACAGGCATCGCAGAGAGCGTTGTCGGCCATTCCTATGACAAAGGAATAAGATTTTGTAAAGGCCACTCCTAGCGATAAGCGATGAAGAAGGGTGGCTTCTCTTCGGTCGAGCCCAGTGGGCATGCGGAGAGGCATCAAAGAGGACAGGTGGTGTTCACAATTCGTCTCGTTGCTTGGTGGGCACCATAGGGAAAACGTGATTTTACGCGCAACGTGATTTCACGTCGCAGAAGGAGTCAAAGCGTGCCGACACGGACGCAAGAGAAAAGTAACGAGAGACGCAAGCGCCACCGATAAAGTGAAATCGTTGTATCAATAACAGACCCTTTGTTATTCAAGACTGCAATTTCTCAGCAATGCTTGTAACTATACGCAGTTTCCATTATCTATCTTTGTCTTGTATGTGCTTGAATTCTTTACATTTTTAGTTGACTTCTGTTGCCTTCCTGATTTGCGCATCTGATACTTGTTTCTTTATTTTGTCTTTTTTTTCTTGTGTGTTATATATGTTGTACCCACCCCCTCTGTAATGCCCTACGGGCCCTGAGAGTATTCTAATAAATAAATAAATAAAATGTCGCAATGTGGCGGAAAATGAGGTACACACAGAGGTGTGCCCGCACAGCGCTGTGCCAGTGTTTCCCGAAATGTTCTGCCACTCATGATTACGAAGTTTCTTTGGATAAACGTTTTTCGCGACGAAAACATCTAAATTTTCCATAAGTTCCGGGTTCATTTGTATAATCCTGCATCTACGATGGATGTGGAAATGCTGGAGGTCCGTTTGCTCAAATTTGGGTGCACGTTAAAGAAACCCAGGTGGTCGAAATTTCCGTAGCCCTCCACCACGGCGTCTCTCATAATCATACGATGGTTTTGGGACGTTAAACCCCACTTATCAATCAATCAATCCGTTGTATATTTCCGAGCTTTCTGAGGAACGTTCACGTGATCACACCTTATATTCGTGCCATTATTTTTTTTCTGCGACCTTTTACAGTATGCTCATTTATAGTTGCAGAGCCCCGCGAAACATACAAGACTACGACAATGCAATCTGCCACTTCCTATCGGAAATCTACTTGAGCTCGGTCTGTCTTAAGCCTATAGGAATAGAGGCTATAAGTTCAAGGAGAGGAACGATATGCATTCAGAAGCGCCCAGTACTTGTCCACCGCATAATAACGTCTTGAGCGATTATCTCAAATCCACCGAAACTGGCGCTTTTGTTTCGGGACATTTCATCGCACTTTGAATGAATGGCTTGAGTGAAACTACAGGCAAACTTGGTCAGCCCGCATGATTCGCGTATTCGTGTTATATCATGAAACTCCCCTGTAAGCACATACCTTGACCCTAAGTGTACTCCTGAATCATAAACCAGATGGAGTGAGAGGGAAGGGCGAGTCCACTTACTAAAAGCCCGTGAGCAAGTTGAGTAGCGTCGTCTTGCCTGCGCCAGAGGGGCCCATGATGGCAGTCAGTGTACCGGACCGCGCTTCGCCGCTCATGTTGTCTACTAAGCACTTGCGGGCTGAAAGGCGACAGAGAAGAATTTCATGGTGTAATGCACAGTACTGCGCTGAAGTCAGTTCTCTGCGATTCATTTCCTGGTAGAGCTCATCACTGTCGTGCGAAGCTGCCACAATTTTTCAGAAAACATAGCTGAATGCCGAATCCATCCAAGTACAGGAAACTGAGTAACACATAATTTAATCGTACGATATGAAAGAGGAACGAGCAAAAAGTAACATACTAGTTTTCGTTATGCGAAGGGCCTATTAGGGAGCCTAGGTAGACGAGAGTGCGATAACACTCGCGAGGCGTACAACGTGCGCTAGTTTTGTAAATATCAAAACGGCCCAGTGGTCTGAGCGGTATTGAAGACAGGGCACCATCAAGAACAGATTATGAGACGTAGTTATAAAGCATGTCGTTCCTAAGTAGCTCTTACAGTAATCGGCCGCTTTCGACAATCATGCATACTATGTCCAGAAGAGCGATTTGGTTGAAAATGTTCTTGGGGGTAATTCAAGCTTAAAAGCTTTTTTTGTGTGTGTGAATGAAACGAGAGGGGGTGTTTGTGGTAGAGCCACCGAAACCATTAGGTGGGAAGGCACCCTTCACTTCCTCTAACACAACCTTGAGACGCCCCGATTCTTGTGCGCACTCCCGGTTACTGAGCTTTCGCTCGTGTGCAGAACGCGTATACATACCTTTGCCTTTCTTGACCTTGTATATCAGGTTCCTCCAGGTCAGGTCGATGCTCTCGAAGTTCCTGAACCCGTTGTGGCGGCCGTTGCCGTTCACTTCGGTCTTGAAGTCCACCGTCGCTGCGCATTCGTACAGACCACCAGTGAGCAGCATGCGAGGCACCAACTCGTTTGTTTCAAAGTGAAAAAGGTCGCTTACATATCTCCGGTAATAGCTCGTTTTTTTTCTTTGGACAAGCTTTTTTAATAGTCACGTGCCGTCGGGCTATTGGGACGCGATATTTTGCGCATTAGACGCGCAGTTGACGCATTAATGGATGAAATTTCACGTGTAAATCCAAAAATTCTGTTTCAAATGTCATATCTTTGAGTGTTTAATTTTTATGTCTCTGAATATTGGATTGTGAGTTTTACCTTTGCCCACAATTAAAAGAAAGAAAGAAAGGAAGGAAGGAAGAAAAAAAAGAAAGAAAGAAAGAAAGAAAAAGAAAGAAAGAAAGGAAGAAAGAAAGAAAGAAAGAAAGAAAGAAAAAACCTGACTTCTTATTCGGTACACAAAGGTGTAGTAATAACATAAAATCGTTTTTATACCGCACATCGCTGTCTATGTGACGTCGGGGCCAAGCTACACATATTGTAGCTTTTACCCTGCTATCCTCGATATAAATGTACATGTCTTTCTCTCAGTCAATGTGCATACACACGGTAAAATTTATGTTTAACACTGCAGCTACACACTTCGGCGAAAAATAAACGTATATATATTTGGCTTTTCCACAAAAAACATTAATAAACACTTTATTACAAGGCGCACCGTAGTGGAGGGTTCCAGATGATTACAACCGCCTGGGGTTACGTCACGTGCACTGTAGCACACGGGCTCCTAGCACTTCAACTTCATCTAAATGCCATATGCAATCATGACCGGAATTGAACCTGCGTCTTTCGGTTTGTCAGACCAAACCGCAAGTACCGCAGCGCCGCGGTGGCCGGTTATATATCTTGCCAATGCCATTTGTACGTTATCGCAGATCATGTATAAAGCAGTTTGTGGTTTAAGCGCTTTTTGGCTAATTGCGCATCCGAATAAGAACGCTATTGTACATAGATTTGTCCGCATCATTAACCATGGTTTTCTTATATGAAACAGTCTCTACGCAGGCTTCGTATTGATTTCACTTGTGAAATATGAAAATATCTGTCATTTGGTTTCAATATATGGAGAGGTTCTCTCGAACAGTCGCATTCGGTTAAAAATAATGCAGCCACGTACGATATACGAGACTCGTTCGCTTTGCGTAATCGTCGATAAACTGCAGTTTTGTGACGTTTGTTTCCCACTATACAGTGCTAGAACATTGTGTGTCCCATAGACATTTCTTCTTTTTTAGAAAATACAGCCAGTTGAACTATTAACGTTTTGATGAAATCGAATAACCAAACAATCAAGTCATCATTGCTTGCAAAGACGTCGTAGTACTATTTGTCAGATTAAGGGCAACAGTTTCTCTTTTCTATTTATACGTGAAAACGTAGCGGTTCAACCAGCTGTTATGAAATTGATACACGACTAACAAATTACCAACTAAAAGGTGTGTGTGAGTGGTTGTAAAGGAAGAGGAAGAAGGCACCTAATTTCTGTCTGCCTCAAGGGCGACATGGCGCAGTGCCTTATAGGGGAGGGGGAAAGGAGGGAGAAAAAGAATAGAAGGAAATATGTGAAGAAATAGAGAGTCGCAGCTGTCACTGCAATCACAGTATAGCCAGTAGTGTACGAGAGGTCGGCGGAACCTCTCGGAGTAAGGGGGCATAACTAAAAGGTCGCAGGCATTCTATACACAAATATTATCGCAAGCGTTCGAGAAGTAACTATTGTGGACAAGGAAGTGCTTCTGACTGACAGTCCGTTCAAACCCTTCACGCCCATCGTCGACATCGCGCAGGTCTCAGAAATGATTACGCACGAGGCGATGACGCAATTATCGAAGCACAGATGCATCATACGCTTGGAGAGTGTTCCTGTCGTAACGCAATCGCAAAGACAAGCTTTTGCGTCGACTGTAAACACACCTATACAAAAGGGAAGGCGCCTAATTACGGATGTCGGCTGCTTCGTGCGAAAGACGATGAGCTTCCGCCAAGCCGTCATAACGCGATGGGTATTGGTCGCACAAAAAAGTGAAGGCCGATCCCCATATGCGCGAAAACGCACGCGACAGCGACGAGCGACGCGACATAGATCGCCTTCGCGCAAGGGGTACGTCGCTTGCACGGCGGAAACATCGTTCACGCGAATTCTTCGGCGAGTGATCGCCACTGTTGCTGGCATGAGGTCGTTTACTCGCGTCAAAAGTGGCGCGTTGTCAGCTGCGCGCAATGTTGATTGACATGTGGGGTTTAACGTCCCAAAACCACTATATGATTATGAGAGACGCCGTAGTGGAGGGCTCCGGAAATTTAGACCACCTGGGGTTCTTTAACGTGCACCCAAATCTGAGCACACGGGCCTACAACATTTCCGCCTCCATCGGAAATGCAGCCGCCGCAGCGGGGATGCGCGCAATGTAAAAGACGGTGTTTTGTTTGCAATATGGTACATAAAATGTTTATCAGTGTCTTGCAGTAGTTGTTTTGATTCCGTCAGTGCTGTTACGCGCCTCAAATCAGATGGCGCTGTTTGTAGTTCCTGTCCACGCACGTTCGCGTTGAGCAATTTCTTGATTTATTTATTATTTGGTGCGTGTACGTAGAAAACACGAAGACATAGTGGGAATAGGGAGGGAACAGGCTGGCAATTGCCAGCTATAGGGCCACAACGCCTGCCTGCTCCTCCGGAAGCGGAGACGTAAGGGAAAGGAATGCAGAAGCAAAGAAAAATGAGAGAGAGAAGGAGAAAAATAAAAAAAGGAAAAGGATCACACGTGCGCAAACACAAATAAATAGTCACACGAAAAATGTCTATAACTGCGATGCCTAGACCGTTTTCTTTAAGAAAGTTAAAAGGGCACTATGGGCCTGGTCACGCCTATAGAAGCACACCTCGGAACAAACAATCATCAAAGGTCGTGCAAATTGTGCGTAGTCTATTTTGAGTAGTGCTCGCTGGACAACGAATGTAGGGCGCTCTAAAATGGCGTGTTTTAGTGTCTCACGTGAGCCACACGACGAACCCTATCGGACGGTCAGCATGTCCTTGGCGGTATAATCGTTCGCACACTGACACAAAACCGACTCTTATAGCTTATATAAGAGGGATCAGTCACGAACATGCACCCCTTGCCGTTGTCCATTCATATATACATCGTGTGCATCAATAGGCAATTAAGTAGCGACAATCATCAGTACGTCAATGATGTAGACCTTGTGCCGGTGCTTCACTATTGGCTGCAGAGCACAATACTTCCGGACGATGTGTGACAGTTTCCAAATCTGCGAACACATAGCGGTAGGGCGAAAACCACCGGCGACACGCCACGCGACCGTCTTGTTTCGTCCCTCATAGCGTCGCACATCGCCGTCGCGTGCATTTTCACGCTTATTGGGTTTGACCGTGAAAATCACGAAAGAAGAGGCGTTGTGAAATCGATCGATTGAGCATGAAAAGTTCTTCACCGGGGGATTAAGGCCTAATTTTTTTATTGTACTGTCGGAATTGTAATTGCGCTCCAGAATTCAATAAATGCGCAGTTTTGTACAGGCTCAAGACGGTAGAAACATGCCTTGTGGTTTAGTCACGAATAATAAAGTGAAGCCCCAAATCAATAAATTACTTTTGGGAACGCTAGTGTTGTTAATTTCGATTGATTTGTGCGGTTTAACGTCCCAAAACCACCATATGATTATGAGAGACGCCGTAGTGGAGGGCTCCGAAAATTTCGACCACCTGGGGTTCTTTAACATGCGCCCAAATCTGAGCACACGGGCCTACAACATTTCCGCCTCCATCGGAAATGCAGCCGCCGCAGCCGGGAATCGAACCCGTGACCTGCGGGTCAGCAGCCGAGTACCTTAGCCACTAGACCACCGCGGCGGGGCAGTGTTGTTAATTTTGCCATCATATATTCACGATCAAAAAAGTAAATGAAAGTGTTTTATTTTTGAGCACTGCGCTGAATTCTGAGCACTTGAGTACCATATAGTGACGTCACGGATTGTATAGTATCCCTATTTAACGTTTCGTATTTCCGATCACATTGGCGCAATAACTTTTTTTCGATCTTGCTACGTTACGTATCTGGCGCCTTTAGAACATGTAATTGATTCCTAGCTTTAAAAGAATGATGTAGACGCCAACTGAATCCGCCAAAACTCATGACAACACGGTGAGTTGGTGCGAAAACTTTTTAACCGGCTTGCCATGGGCCCTTTTGCCAGATGCGTGTTGCTATTGATAACGTATATGGGAAACAGCGTGAAAGACAAGAACAGTAAGGAGATATACTACCACATCTTGCCTTTACTGCCCGCGTCTTTTGCGCTGCTTCCCCTACATTATGTTTAACCGACTATCTGACAAGTTCGAATTTCGTTCTTTTGGTAATGTGAAGTGGCAGTTCACCAATACGACAAAAGTCGTTATTTCCTTTAATGTCCGTTTCGACACTGCTTCCTCGCGTGGGTTCCCACTTGTGCCATGTTGTTGTGTAGCACTGCGGCAGTGCGCCTGTTCCGTGATGCAAACGGCGGCGGATGCCGTCGACATTACTGAGGCGCTTGTAGCAACGTCACGGCGCGTGGACTCCTCCCAGCCTAAAGATCGCCTCCGTCATGGAGGAAAGAAATATGGCCTCTGTATTCTGTGATCACGTGACAACTGGCACAGCAGCTACAAAGTTGCCTCCAAGCACGGCGACTCCCATGCTTACCGCTGTTTACAAACATGAAATATTTGTATACATGAACCGGCGCAGGTAAGTGTTGAGTATACTCTCGTTTCGCCAACATGGGTTGACAGCGTTCGCTTCGTCCCTTTAGCGTCGCTCGTTCTAGTGTGCGCAGGTCTTGCCTTCTTATATGCGACTAACGACGCCTCTGATAAACGCGTCTGTTCAAGTTCAGACAACAGTGCCTTTGAGCCATTTGCATTGCGGTGACGCAAGCAAACGACGCGTGCCCATTCA